AAATTGTTATTACTATTATAATTATAATAATAATTATTATTATTATTATTATTTTGGGTATTTTTTGGTTTTCGTCGTTTTGGTTTTGTTGTTTTGGTTTTGGTTTTTTTTGCAGCTCTCCACACTAAACTGCGCAATACTGTGGGGGAGAAGCCATTACTAAACTATATGCTGCAGAACAATGTAGCAAGTAATTAATTCCCAGCAGCCTGCCGGGACATCTGCTAGCAATAATCACTATTGATTTAAAGCTTTATTTAGCCTTTATCTGTATCCTAGTAGAGTATAAGATCTTGCCACATTTTATTGACATTTTTATTAGTTGAGTTTGACTGAGAACCGTTGCTGTTGTTGGGTTTTTTTGTTTCCCCTCCTCCCCCAATATTAAACTGTGAAATTTATAATGTGTTTAAACTATGGGTGAATCTTAGGCTTTAGTTTGCATGTTCAGCTAATTTGTCTCTATACGATTTTTGTTTGAATCTTTTTTTTTTTTCTCCTCTCTCAGGGCTTTTACAAAAAACAAAAAAACAAACAAAAAAGGATCTTCTGAAATTCTTTTGCCTGAGTTGCAATGGACTTAACATTGAGATAATTCAATCACTACATTAAGCACTTGACTGTGAAAGCCGCAAAAAAAAAAAAATAAACAAAGGAAAAAGAAAAAAAAAAGAGAGAACCTTGTTTGAGGCTGTTGTGAAATAACTCTTGGGGGCTATGTGACGGTCTGATTCCGTTTTCAGAATGATTCTTCATCTTCTCTCTTCTCTCTGTGTGTCTCCTTTCTCTTCTCTCTCTCCACGAAGGAAGTTTAATCCTAGTGATTTCATCCCATGCAGGAAACAGTACTAAATGTGTAGAATTCATATTTTTCTAAAGGGAACTTAAACTGCTGCTACGAATTGTGTACAAGACTGGTTTATGCCACATGAACAGAGAATCACACATTTGTTTTGGTACTTTTATTCATCTTTTTATTCAGTTGTACAGTACTTCCAAATTCAAAATAAAAAGTAAAAGTTGTTCTGTATCAAACCATCTAAGCAATAAAATGTTATATTTAAAAATTATAGGTTACAAAATGGACGTGGCTTTTCTTGTGGGTTTTGTTGTAACTTGCTTTCAGACTTCTCTGCTAGAGGACAACGTACAAGCTGGAGCTCATCTGTGTAAATAGCGTCGCTCTTTCTCTTCCTTCAGTTGGACTGACTTTGAACTGGAGATGATTGTAGCACTTTGAAAATTCACGTTCATTTTGACCACCATTTTCTGGTAGTCAAACCATTGACTACAGTCAAACCAATGACTACCGTTTTCTGGTAGTCAAGCCCCTTTGAAACGGTGCTTTTCTCTGGGGGCAGTTCCTTAACGTAGCAACCGAAGACAGCAGGAAAGTACTTCTTCGGTGCTGATTTTCCTGCGCGGGCGTTGGGTCAGGGTTCTCTGCCCTTTTTTTTGTTAACTGTAGCCCCACGGTCATGTGAGTGAGTGTCCTTCTGGCACGTTGTGGTGGTTAACGGTGTATCAGTCGTTTTCTGTATAAACGAAGTAGGTTTCTGCCGCCATAGTTTTATTTTTACACAGATGCGTGTGGCGCTGAAATCTTCAGGATGTGTTTGAAAGCCACGTGCATGTGTCAAAAAAAAGAAGAAATCCTTTGTTTTAACTTGTTGGCAACTGAGCTGCATTTGATACGCTTTCCTATAAATAAAACACACTTCATGGGACAATGAGCCAAAGAATCATCTGAGTTGCGTATCCAGTTCTGGAGGCCAGGGAATTGCAGCGAAGCTGAAGCATCCGCATCTTCCTAAGTCCTGGTGGGATGGTTCTTTCTGGCAGAGAAGTGAACCAGGTTCAGAATGGGAGAGACATACCCAGGGGGTAAAGTGCTGCTGCTTTCCTCCCTCTAGCCTCCTGTACCTTTGTGACAGAGGTTAAAACTCCCCACAGCACTCTCTCTGGTGAGGACCTGGTCCCGCACTGCCAAACAGGGATAGGTTAAAAGAAAACCAGTTGGTCAGCCAGCTCTGCCCCCAGCCGAGGAGATCTGATGAAGCAGGGCTCTGTGAACTACCTCTGGGTGTGCTGAAGGGGTGGAAACAAGATTCCTGAGGGAGGAAACCTGCAGAAAATCACTTTCTTCCCTCTCCCACCTACTGGCCTGAGAAATCTCCCCTCCTTTTGTGAGACGGATGGGAAAACTCTCATCCAAAGGGTGTGGGGACCTGTCATGAGGTGTAAAATCGAATGGGATGAGTTTATGTGGCTAGGAAGTGATCGTGACTACTTATGAAACAGATGACTTAGAAAGCACTTGGTTCTTGGCTGTGGAAGGGTGCAATTTGTGTACCCAGCCCTTTTCTCCTTCTGCCTAAATTTGTCTGTGACCATCCCTGAGCTGGGAATTTCCCTGCTCTTCTTGCTTTCCACAGGGTAACGTCCTGCAGGCCAGCTGAACTTCGCTCCTTCCTGGTTTCTCTCTCCCTCCTGCCTCTGCTCCTCCCCGCTCTAACTCCGGTGGCAGCGATAGCTAGAGCTGGCCTGAAACATCAGGTTGACAGAGGGATGGGGAGGTGGTGGTGTCTCCATGTGCCTCCTCCAACTCGCTGCTTCCTTGCCTCATTCCCTAAAGCTTTTTTTCCCACCATTTTAAAAGTGAAGCCGCAGGTTAATTCTTGACGTGGATGGCGAGAGCGGCACAGCCCCCATGGTGTGGATCCGTCTCACAGCAGTGCCTCAGGTGTGAAGTCCACACGCTCGCCCCAGAGCGTTAAGGTTTGGGGGAGACCCAAGTCCTCTGCCACCACGGGGATGCCTTGGCGGCGAGGGGCACCAGGGGGGTAGTTTTTTTGGAAGCATGGAATATGAATCTGTGGGCTGTGGACCATGGGGATGCGCAGGAGGGCTGGTTTGAGATAGCAGGCTTGGGTGGAAACTGGCTGTCCCAAAGTAGGATACGGAGCCTGGTTGGAGCGTCTTTTGCGTATTTACTGAAACTGAAATGCAAACTGGTAAAGAGAAAGGAATAAAAGTATTTGCTTTCCCTTATCCAGCTGTCACAAAGTACCCAGCATTTGGGGGATGGGAGGGCTGTATACCTACACTTAGATCTTCAGAAAGTGAATACAATGAGAAATGATTTGCTGTGGACACTATTAACATAGTATTTTGCCCTGTTCTGTTGAAAAAAGTCTCAAAATTAGATTTATTTTGCCCTGTTCTGTTGAAAAAAGTCTTTCTCAAAATTAGATGAGTCACAATTCAACTAGCAAGGAAGGCAAGGGGCAAAAGTTTACTTGAAACCTTTCCTTGCTCACAAGCCTCCGGTTTGGGGAATCACACATGGCTTTTTCTTTAGGCATTTCTGTGGAGATTGGGAGTTAAGACGGGATTGACAATGTCACTTCCGGAAACCCTGAGGGTTGGACTATCTGCAAAAGGGAGACGCAAGACCCCAGCACGGAATAACTGGCACTTTCTGTATGTCAGTCTAAGAGGCACCATCTTTTATCATCCACTCTGATAACACAGGAAAAGAAAAAGATGGAGAAATGCATTGACTGGATTGTTTAATCGGGACATCTCTAACTGCTGGGCCGTGGAAAAATGGGCCACACTGGCATTTCCCAGGACTTGGGTACCTGAGCAGCCAACGTCAGGGAGGAAAGTGAGTAAAACCCATACAACGCACCAGTATCTTCTGGTGACGTGGGTCACTCGGGCTCACCAGCCTAGGAGCTGCGTAAAGTGCTTATCCTCTCTAGTCCCTTTCCTTGGCAGTAATTGCAATCACCTGCGCAGGAGGGAGGCTCGCTGCAACTGTGCTGCAACTGTGCTGCAACAGGGAAACAGGCAATAAGGACGATGCTGGGTTTTGCTCTCCGATCTGCTTAAATAAGGCAAGTGGAAGAGCCACATTTTGACTCCGGGGAGTTTGAAAACCTCCTTCATGTCAGAGAGGAGCTGAGTGTTTCACAAAAAATGGTCCAAGGTTTGGGGATGGGAAGAAAGTGCGTGTATGGGAAAAGGTAAGTATCTAACCTGCTAGTGGGATGACATTATTTGACTAGACATCTCCATCTTAGACTGCCTGCGCTGTGGCTGACCTGGGGAGATGATCGGTTGCCTGGCTGTGTATGTACTGCAGGTTGGTAGCACCATGTCACTGTGGTGACCCCGGACTCCGGGTCCTGGGCATACTCTGGAGTTCTTGGGTTTGGCCTTCAGCCACACACTGGAGCTGCTCTCCTTCCTCCGTGTCCTCACGTGCACACGCAGGGAACAGGGGAAACAAATGTCCAGGAGCATACTGTTGTCACTACCTGGAAACCAGTGACCACCGATACCTGCACATTTGCTGGCAGATCACAGGATTTCCCAAGTCTCAGGCAATTAGTGCCATGCTGGATCACAGGATTAGAGAAAGTGGAAATACCCCTAAAATGACAGGAGGTTCAGCACAGCTGGGATTCCTGAGGCCACAGCTCTGCTGAGGGGGTATATGGTCGCAGTGCGTTCCTCTGGTTTTGAAGCAAGAACATCATTAGCAGGAAGTGTTTTGTTAATGCAGCCCCCTCTAGAGCCTAAAGCGTGTCCTGCAGAGGCACAGACGCACTCGGCGAATTTGAAGCTCTTGGCCTTTCTCAACATGGCCACAGGGGTGTCTTTCCTAGTCACCTCAGCTGAGGATTGTGTTATTGGGAATGCAGTTTTAGGTGATTTAACCCCTTCTCACCAGTCCTGAAAGCACGATTTATACCAAGTAAGCACAAGGTGTTTCTCCTACAAGTTGAGTGGGTGTCGGACACTGGCGGTGTGCGCCCTTCGTCCTATGAAAAGTTACGGACTCATTTGTCCTGTGGTGTGCACGTGTTTGCTTGGGACTTACTAGAGGACTGGGGGGGCACAGCACAGAGAGGAGTGCTCTGGGGCAGAATTATCTGGTGTTTTAGGATCTCTCACAGCTGCACCTCTTCCAGGTGCGAAGGCTGCAAGAGCATCCCTGTGTGCTGCCGGGGCTCATCGCTGGCTTCACCTGGGCAGTGAGGCCTATTCAAAGCAAGGGGTGGGGTGAAGGATAGGAGGTGGACAAGGAGAACAGCGTTGCATTTGTGCACTGCAGCAGCAGTTGTTGTTCTGTATTGTAAAAAAAGATATTTATGAAACTGTTTTTCCAGTGGGATCTCTTTTTTTCAAAGAAATTAAGTGGATTAACACCTGGGAGAAAGACAGTGGAGAGGCAGAGGCAAGTCGGCCTGCTCCAAAGACAGCAGTGAAGACACAGACTGATGGCAGGTTACTGCACAGAACGGGATGCCTAACGGATACAGAAACATCTACCTTGCTGTTGCTGGCTGCGCGTGTCACCTCAGGTAAGTGGCATGTAATCTGCACACGTGTCACGGTGTTAGTGGGGTGCCTGACAGAGGAAAAAGTTGATCGAATTCTCTAGGGAAACTAAAACCTTCAGAGTATTCCTAGGTAAAGGGCCAAGATGCCTTCCTTTCAGGATGCATCTGAAATCACCCCATGGAGCTGAAACTAAGTAAAGATGGAGTTGAGAAGCATTGCTGAGGCTTCCCAAAAATTCTAGTATTGCCTCCTATTTTCAGTTCTCAAGTCCCCTCTCAGCCTAACAAAAATGACGTTCAAAGGAAGCAGGTTTTTTTCATGTGTTAAATACTAGTAAGCGGGAAGACTTCCCTGGCTCGCTGAACCTCACTGTGTAACGCGGTAGAAAACCTTGTAGCAATCCTCTGAGCAGTAGGAACTGAAAAGAGCTTTCTCCTTTGCTGTGCTTGTTGTTTATTTCTCCCGCGCCAGATTTGTCTCTCGTTTGGCAGGGAAAACTGCCAGGAGTGTATGAGGAAACTCTGGACGATGGGCATTTGGAATACGCTGTTGTGAAAGCGTTTGAGCTTCTCTAGGGCCTTTCAGCAAAGGGTGGTGAAGCAGTTTACGAACGTCAGTTAATAGGAGGCTGTAAATAGGAGAGAAGTTTGCTGGAGAAAAGGCTGTTCATCATGAAAGGCCGGATCTATTTTCATAATCTCGGAGGCAGAGGTTAATGCGGTAAAGGCCAGCTCTGCTGTGGGCTGACTTTCCGTCAGTCATTTTTAGCCTGTAACCGCACAGAGAGCATGGCCGTGCTACTCATAAAAATGTGCGAAGGTTAGGACAAAATGTTAGCTAGAGGGACGGGTGGCTCTATAATGCGTGAGCCAAGCAGCTGGGATACGAGGAACAGCAAAACGTGCCTCTTCGCAGCGAGTACGCAAAGAAATGGTCCTGCGTGAGTGTGTGCGCGCACACAGGACTAGCAGCCCCTGCCCTCAGGCCAGGAGTGGGCGCAGGAATGAGTTCAGATACATTTGGGTAACTAACTAAAGCAACCATTGTGTTAACCTTTCCTCCCAGCTCCTGTTATCTGATTGTACAGAGAAAGACAGCTTAGATTTGCAACTAGATTTGTTGTTTTAAATGAGCAGCACCTGACTTTTAATGGATCTGCACCCAAAAGAAGTATTTCTATTTTATTTTAGGGTGATGGCAGTGCTGGTGGTGAGACGTAGGCTTGCTTTGACCAATAAGTATTTCTCCCAAGTGTTTGCAACTCAAGCTTTACCACGTGACCTGTGCTTGGGAATGGAAAAGTGACTGGGTAAAACCTGGCTGTAAACAAAAAAGGTAACCATTTTCATTGCCGTTTTCCTCTATTTCTACTGAAGTGTAGCCCTACTTGATGCACGGGGCTCCCAGGTAGCAGCTGGGGAGGAGGTAGAACATGGGAGGACACGTGCTATCTCACGCGCTGCTGCTGAGTGCGATACAA